CCCTTCTTGGGTTCTGTCACCAACTTCTTCACATCTTCTTGGGTCATGGAGTGATAGTTCTCCACCACCTTCTTCCTTGGAACACGATCCAGTCGAGCTCCCACTATCAGGCCATCGACAAGCAAAGGGTTTGAAACCAAAACGTAACATGTCCAAACGGCTCAATGAACGCAAAGGGCACTCTTTTGAGCGTGGCGTAAAGGGAAACCAAAAGGAGCATCCCTCATTTTGGAGCACCATTTCGAGACAACCCCTTTCTTTCTGGCTTTGAAGGGGTCAGCGTCCCCCAGCAGCCGAGTTCGGAATCGTTCCTATCCCGATCGAGTCTCATGGAGATGCGGCCCTCGGGGGCGTTGGCCAAGAGGTTCTTGCAGAAGCCCATGCCATCAGAGAAGGCGAGGATGTTCATCTTCGCCGGAGGGTCCGGCTTCGGGATCTCCAGCGGCTCCTGCCATCTTCCGGCGATTTGCGATTTCCAGAGGCGTAAACAAATACGCATCTCCCGATTCCGCCCATGGAAAAAGCACCCGATTCGCCTGAAAGAACTTGCAAGTACATTCTGAGGATGATGCGTTTTGCCGCTGTCTGCCGCTTTCTAGCGCAAACACTCATCAATCTATGCTGACGCTCAGTGAAGCAGATTGCAAGTCAAATACGGAACCCCGCGATGATCCTAGTCCGAGTTCCCACGTAATACGGTGTATAAGTCGATCATACAGGAGATCCACCTAATAGGCAACCAGTTTCACAATGTAAACACGAAACAAGGAACGAGACCCCATCCGCAAAGCCACTACCCTGATTCATTTCAGCTTCTGGCTGCACAACTCTTGCCGGGGGTCTCTGACAGCTTCAAGGTACCAGAGACTAAGCTTTCCCTTTCTGGGGTCAGGCTCCAAATTTCGAAGCCCCTTCCCTGAAACTGGCCCCCTTATTTTATTGTCGAAATCCCCAGAAAGGGGTAGGTTAAAGGGAAACAACCGAGCAATTTCCAACTTTGATAACCAGTAGAAACAGTCAAAATCATGACCCCAGTGATTTTTGTCTGGCAGGCGTCGGCGTGTGGGGCTTGCCCCAACCCTTTCTGCCGCATCTTTCGCTTCATTTCGGGCGCCTGGACCTGCCCTTTGCACCAGGGATCCATGAGCTTGGGCACGGTGTTCGAGCGGTTGATCATCTTCTCCACCTGAAACAAACACTTCTGATGCCTCGTGGACAAAACATCTGGGTATGTTTGTGTCCCCTTGTTGGTGGGCTTTGAAGGGAAACCAAATGGAAACCGTTGCCATTTTGTTGGGTCTTTTAAACACGACACACCTAAATGCGTTGGGTAAATAATTAGACAAATCGATTTTCAACCAAACGTAAACTCACCCGAGTTTGGACACCTTGCTTCAGGAAAGGGACCTTGTTTCACCAGCAGCTGAGTGTGTGTGTGTGTGTGTGTGTTTGTTTCACACCCAAGCAATTGGGTGTGTCTTTATTTGGAGATAATAAAAAAAAGGATTGGTGTCTTTCCCGCTTGATTCCTTTTAAAACCACAAAAATGCGGTTCCCCCACGAAAGAATAAACAAAGAAGAACAAACTGGAAAACGCCATTCTCTTGCCATATGCAAACCAACTGGAACTTTTCTTGAGCGCATCACAATGGTCCCAGCTTGCTCGAAGACATGCTTACCTTCAAATCCCAAGGCTTTGCGCATGATCTCCAAACGATAATGTGTCAAAACTAGGGGGCTCTCCTGTTGGCTACACAGCCAGCAATAGGCGCTTAGACATGTGCAGTCGACGCCTATTGCGTGAAAGTTCCGCTTGGCTCTGCTACGAATGATAGAAAAGGGCGGGGGCTTACAATTCCAACACAAGTTCTTCCCTTTAAGAGAAGTTCACCGTTCAATGGGGGGTGGAATTTATCACTGCATGCCCCGGGTGGCGTTGAGAAGCCCACGCTGGTGGCGGAAAAGTATTGCATTTACTTCGCAGCGATATACAGGGGTTCTTCACCGTGTCTCTACCTGCAACTGGCTGGATTAGCCCGATGGACACTCTCGTAGGTGTTTGACTGACATGCCTTGCGGACGCCTCTTGTGCTTGCAAGACATGTGCAATTACGAGTAGCTACAACTGAGCAGGCTTTCGCCTTGTCATCCCAATTTGCTGGCGAGGAAGCAATAACAGAATATCACAGCAGGTGGACTGCCAACCTTTACATCATTGCACAGTGAGCAATATCACGGTATGAAGGGAGATCTCTGGCCTTGCTTTTTCAGTCTTTACAAATCGCGCATTAATCCTCCAGGCTCATCATCTGCTTTTCCGGGGACGATAAAACACATTATTTTTTTTAAGGGCCCCCCAACAAATTGCGATGCTCCTGTTAGTTTCCCTTTAAAACTACGAAAAAGGGGCAGGCTACCGCGGAAGCTCCCAGGACCCCTTTGGAAGACTTGGCTCGATTTACAGAGGCCTTCCGGGAGCTTGCGGCTCTTAGTCTGAGGGAGTGTAACATCCAAAAATACAGACATATTGTTTGTTTTGCTCTAGCTTTCGCAGATCCAAGCCGCAAAGATATCCATGGCAGCGCCATCTTTGGTCTCCACCGGCCTGAGAGCAGGTGTCGCAAGAATGACCAGCCCGCGGTTTGATTCCATTCGCTGTGGTTTGCTACGGCTGGCTTGGGCTGGTTTAGGGCTGGTTTAGGGCTGGTTTAGGGTTGATTTGGGGGGGGTGCTTAGGGTACGCATTGCTGCTTGTCGAAAAACGCACCGATCTACAGAAAGGCACTTTCGAATGAGGCTTTCAAGTCTTCCCAACTCAAGTAGTAACCATAACAGGCCCCTGCATGGCATAACATGCCGAGGTTTTTTGTGTTGTAGAAACATATATATATATATATACACATAGAAAGGGACCCATACGTGACAATGAAAGCTTCCTGACTGCGTGCATAACATGCAAATATGAAAGGTATCAGCACGAACCTTCGGTACAAGTGTTGCAGTGCATAAATGACTTGGGTATCTAAGAGCAACTAATAATCCAAGCGAACCTAATGAAAGCGAAAACATCGAAACACATGATCTAAGTGCTGAATTGCACTGCGCCTTTAATTCAGGGTTGATTGAACAACCACAAGGTATGACCCCATGCACAGCAATATGTTTTGCCGCTGTGCTAGAAACAACTGCTAGTTCTTCCAAAGTGGAGTCAGCTGTGCCACCGAAAACTAGTCAAATATTCTGCTCGATGAAACGCCCCAACACTAGTCCTACATGAAACGAGTAGGGCACCTTGTCTCCCACTCTCACTCACTCAGTTGGTGCTGCAGTATGGGCCCAATGGAAACGACAATGCGGCAATGATGTATCCCAAGTGCTCCTGATTTGGGTGTGTCTTGTTTGAGGGTACCCCTTTTTGGTTGGTGTTCAAGGGGAACAAAAGGACAACCGACAATTTGGAGGGTTTCTTGCCGTGAACACCCTCCAGGTGTAACGCAGGGTGTGAGTCGATCAGAAAGCGATAAAACATCTCTCTCTCTCTCACTCTCTCTCTCTCTCTTTCTGGCACGAACACCAGTTTTCAACTATCGCCAACTCACACCAGCAAAACAAGCAGCACCTTCAACAAAGCGATCCAAACCAAATTGATACGTACAAGTGGGTGTCTTTTGAGGGGACCCACTAAGAAGGTGGTTTTACGTTGGTTTCAATTGAAAAACACAGAAAAGGGTACCCAACAAAACAGTCCACCTACAAACTGATTCAAGCCAAATTGATATGTCGACTTCAGGTCTTCGGGCTGAAATGTTGTGGGTCAAAAATCGGGCAACCCCCAAATGGGTTGCCCTCAATAACAAAACACGGACTAGCATGGGTTGCCCTGAATAGAAACATGGACTGCCTGCCACTGCCGGTCCATATCTTCTTGAAAAAGCTCTGAGCCATACCTTGGGGCCGGGCAGGTCTTCTTTGAACCACTCCACCGGCCAGCACATGCCATCCAGCTTTTCCATGGCCGCCCCTGCGATCTGCTCGTAGTTCGCCATGGCGAAGCCGTCCGCGATCCGCGATCCGCTACGTCCGGACGCCCACCGTAGCCCAAAAGTTGGGTTGAACGAAAGGCAGCGGCTGTCGCCACTTTGAGCCGGAACCGACGCCGAGTTCGATTTTAGCTCCTAAGCCTTCTACAAGCTGGACGCAAAGAGGCATGTGTCATTGTGGCAAAAGGTGGCAGGTTGAATAAGATGTTGCTGCAAATAGAAGCCTCACTGACAAACAACTGACCCTAGCCTGAGTTGAACGGGATGAAACTTGTTAAAGACGGCTTGTGCTGGCATTTGTCCATCAGCACGAAGACCAATGCAATATCTTGACCTTTGGTGGACTCAGAAAGAAGTGTTTGTATCATTTGGCACTTGCAATTGATGCTAACGCTCAGGGCAAGGCAAACCAGGAAAAAGAACATGTAACATGAAAAAGGATGGCACCTCAGAACCGCGGTCACCCAACCACATGGAAGAAACGAAGCAGTAACAAGTGAAGGCGAAAAAGCGGAACGACTTATCTTCCCTTTCAAGTCAGCTCCGCCCCCTCCTGCATCCCTGGTCCTTCCATATCCATGCGTGGTTTCTTGGTTCAACTCTCTGGGAAGCATGATGTTTCAAATCGATCGAACGTCGCAAGTATCTTGCCGGCTTGATAAGATGCAGCCATTTGGGAGAAATAACATGTCCAGGGGGCTGTTGAAAATGGTGGACCCCTGTTTGGTTGGTCTCACTTACCCAAAAAACCCAGAGGTAGTAAACGGCTAGCCTTTTGGGGCCACTAAAGTGGACCAAATCAGGGCAATAAAAAGTCGAAAAAGGGTCAATTCGCTTTGGGCAACTGGGTGGTGTGAAAAAGGGAAGCCAAAAGGAAACCACTGCCAAAAAAGCTGACAACACTTTACGAAGTCAGGTTCTTGACTCGCCTCAGATCTAAGCACAAGCCTGCATTAGAGCCCAGTCCAACATGCCGAGAAGCAATGTGGTGCAAAATAGGTTCCACATCTCGGTAGGCTTCCAGAGATGTCTCGCAGTGGTCGTCGCCGTTCACTTCGAAGGGATGCTGAATTGAGACCACAGCGCTCACAGTTGCCTACCGTGCGAAGACAATCGAACTTTCGCCCGCCCCTGTTTTGGGGGGTGTTGTGGTTTCGAAGGGAAAACCAACAGGAAACCCACCCATTTTGGGGTCCCTTTATTTTGAGACACCCCCCTCGCGTCAAAAGCAATGCGTGGCAGTTGTCAAGCCCTGGCCAAGTACTGATTTCAACTTCAGGCGAGTCGTGTTTGTTGCGAAGGGTCCTGATCATCCTGATCTGCCGCAAACGCGGAAGAAGTATCCGCGTGACAATGCTTCTTGCAGGTGTCTGCCTCTGAACTTTTCTCACCTGCGAGCTCCGCCACAATATCTCCTTCCCGGGCCATACCATCTCTGTTGTTTGTCCATGTTGCTGTTTCCCCTGCCGATTTGCTTGACATCCAAGCATGAAGATGTTTGTACGCAGGGAGGTGCACCCTCGCACAAACAATTGCACCAGCTCGAGACAAAGTTGTTCAGGAAAAAGGCGCTTTAGGCAATTACTGACATATGAGAATTGCATGGGGATGTAAACCTAAGCATTTGTTGCACGCAGGCACGCGTCCAAAGATGTCCAAAGCAAAACAACTGCTCATGGCAAGAGCTGCAAGACATTCAAGACGCCTTCATCTTCTTCTGGTCGCACTCGACGATAGCGGCTCGCTCCTGCAGCACACCAGGAGCAGGGGGCAAACACGCGCAGGGCTTCGAACACAGTGAGCATACCTGAAAGAGCAGTTGACAGCTTCTGTATCACTGCTTGGAAGGGACAACAATTCATGCTTTACAGCATACATCAGGCATGCTCTTTCGAAGAGCATGTCCAAGGAAAGCTTTGATGCTCGATTGCTGTCAGGTAATACTGGCCGCACCATTCAGGTTGAACAAGTGCCTCCTTCAAGAATCAACACAATTGTACAAACCTACAACTGTGTGGAAGATGTTGAAGCACAGAGAAGCAAACGGCGTGGATTTTGTGTCATATGACTTGTCGGTGACTTTTGCGGGCTTGTTTCGCAATCAAAACCCATTGGGATTGTCGAGCAGGCGTTGAACGGCAGTTTGTTTGGTGGATTGTTTCGGACATGGGCAAAATTTCACATCCTCTGCACACGACCAAAACATCCAAAACGGTGGATGTTCAGGTACTCGACACTTTCAGGTGGTCTCCCTCATTACGATAGTCATACTGTGGATGGACACAGTCCTGCACCAGTTGGGATGATTGGTGGTATTTTCCAGGGCTTCGTTTTTGTCCCAAGTGGTGGGTCCACGGAACTCCGCTTTTACCGTAATTTATAGCGTTTGGGCTATGTGACGCCTGTGCGAGAATGCTTCGGAGAACTAAACAAACCTCTTCTCCTGAGGCTTTCGACTTCTTTGTTCATGTTGTTATCTCGGATTTTTCTACAAACCCTACAAACCAAGCAAGAATATCCCTACTTCAATGTCTTTGATATTGCCATCCCTCCAAAGATAAAAGTAACAGATTGCTTTTTGGTACCGGATGTACTTCCCCTTCTTGACCCATTAATTCCAAAGGCAAGTTAGACCCTTTGGGAAATGGAGAAACAGGGCCATGAATTGTACCCGCCGGTTCGACATTCGGGAGATCGCCCATTGACCCAAAAGAAGGGTGACCGTTGTTGTGTTGAACCCAAAAGGGAAAAGGAATGCAAAGGGATGAACACGGTGGAACTCCCCACACGAAATTCGCTGTCCTTCTTTGAGAAGCTCTTCCAACTCGCTTTCAGCTTCTTGTCGAAGCGAGGGTGCGTTGGGTTCAGCCGGTCCGAGAGAGTTCCTAGGCGCAGGATGAAGGATTAGTTACCCAGCCTGGCATCAGCAAACATGATGGAAAGCGACAACCCTTGTAGTAACCACCGGGAGTCTCGGGTCCTTACCCAAAAGAAAGAGTCATCACCCGCCTTTTAGGTTCGTGGAGATTTCATGTAGTTGTGTGGCTATATTTGTTTCTATTTTGCTTTTCACTTTTTTGGGATGGGGGGTTGGGGGAAGTATGGCTATGACGTTGTGCGTTTGGCATGTTCTCGTGCGCTTGCATGAATCTATGAATCCCAGCTCGTGCAGCAAGGGTGGCAGCGACAAGCAGGCTGTCGGTCCTAATCTCCGGAAACCCGCTTGGTGCGTCAAAACCAGGAAACTCTGAAATCCCCGAGTTATGTGAGCCTGTCCCAAGGATGGAGCCCATGTCCGGCCTTTGGTCTCGGGATCCGCCAGCTCCTCCAGCACCTGCTGAACCTCTGGTCGAACCTGCGGGTGACGCACCCATTGGATTCTTGATTTGGGAGTTTTCAACAGACGGGGCTCCTCCAGAAGAAATACATAAATATATTCAAAAAAAAGCAAAAACAAACTAAATAAAACATACATATATATATATAAGGGGACAGCACTGGAGCTCCACATGCATGGATCGCAAGCTACAGAACGTGGCGACCTTCAACAGCAATTGTTGGATGGTCCATGTGCTTGCCTCCGGCGTTGCGCTGTCTGCTTTGTCCTGGGCTGGGGATAGAAACCGCAAAAGGCCCGTGGCTTCCAAAGGGAGGGCGATTGAAAAAGGCCACAAATGCAGCTGCCCTCATGGCAAGTCAATCTTAGATGGCAAACCTGTGGACAAATGGCCATCCGCTTGTACGGACGGCAAGGTCACTTCTTCTGAAAAGGCATGTTGAAGTTTGGTTCTGAAAGCGAGTGAAGAATCAAGAAAAGCTATTCTACCTGCGTGATCTGCGTGTTTGTCTCAAAATACGGGGACCAAAATGATGGGTCTCCTTTTGGTTCTCCAGGAAACCAATCCTGAGACATCTGTCCTGTTTCCTTCGTGCGCATTTGGATGATACATTGCTGTGGGCACCAAAATGTCAAAACACCACACATCCACTGCCGAAAACAGAAGTGACATGCATGATTCAGTTCCGAGTTACCTTGCATCCTGGCTGCATTGCATCTTTCTTCCGCCTTTTCTTGCCTCGCGAGCTTAAGATGTATAGGTCAAAAACATAGAGGCAGAAGCGTAAGGTCGCAAACATGTTTTGCCTGAGACTAAGTTCAAAGACATGGGACAACAACATGTACTGCACATAGGGTCCCAGCCTCGATTGGATGCCACAATGACAATCAAAGACGTAAAAAATGGCACACGTTACGGCTGCCGATGTGTTCTTTGTCACAGACTCTGCGCAGCACGTGTTGCTCTGCAGCACAACAGCCGACATCGAAAGCACACTGCTTCAATCGATTGATGGTTACAGTCAGGGTCAAAGCGTGGTCATGCGAGAAACATGTTGTAACACTGAGTTAAGCGATCTTCGAAACCCGGTATGAGTGTCGCATACGCAAAAACACACACGCGTGTATTTATATTGGTATGATCATGTACATATATCTACCTATCTATATATATATATATGTTTGAGACCTTTTCCGAATTCGCCTTGGCCCCCAGGGCCGGGAGGCGGTCAGACCCCTTCAGAACCTCTTCGGGATCTACCCCTTGCATTTCTCTCATGTCCAGCATGGGCTTTCCACACGCCTTGGCCTTGGCTCGCTACATGCTCTACGTGCCTCCATGCATTCTTTGTGGGCTGGACGATCGCGAACTCACTTCCAATGTAGCCTTACTGTCCTCACGTCTTGCCAATGTCTTCTTGTGGCTGGTCTCAACGTGAGCTTTCAACGCCCTGTCCTTCATGTCATGCGCCTGAGGGTTAGGGCGTGTCACGTCGCCTTCACATGTCTGGCGGTTTTCCTCTTGAGCGCCCGAAGCTCTTGCCAGTTGTAAAAACCCTGCACTTCACACTTCCAAGTTCGGCAGAAACCCCCGTCCCCATGTCGCGCAGCCAAAATCCCTGCTCCAGCTGCCTCCAGTCCGCCTGAAGCGAGCCTGGAAGCAGCCAGCTTTCAGGATCTTGATTGTCGAAAAATCGATCAAATCCCCTTTAAAAACGATAGACACGGATCAAATCCCCTTCTACAAGCCGAATGTCCCACTGAAAACCGGTCAACTTCCTCCTCTCAAGCTGTTCACCTCCGGTCAAGTCCCCCTAGAAACCGGGAAAATTTCCGTAAAGCCAGTCAAGTTCAAACTCCCTGTCAAATCCCCTCTGAAAACAGGTCAAACCTCAAATCCCCCTAGAAACCCGCAAAATCCCAAAAAAACAGTCGGAAATTTGAACCTGCGCTTGGCCCACCGTTCTGTAGCGCTCTGCGGCTCTCGTTCTGGCCCTCAAAGCCAGGTGGAATTGCGCGGACATGCACCCACCCTCTATAGTTTGGAAACCCGCTCACGCATTTCGGCGCCGACTCACTCACTTTAATAACAACACTGCAAGGCAAACTAAAGCACAGTATACACCTCAAAGCCAGCCAAAAGCGGACTGGCCGAGGCGGGCAACACGAAGCGTTTACAAATAACGCACAGATGCCGTAGCAGTCAGGATTTCAGAACACTCGCCTCATCAGCTTGCCCCAATAGGCAATTGTAGAATTCTATTGGGGTAGTGGATCTGCTCCCAGTGCAGCAGAACGCGTGTGCCAAACTGCGTTGCTGCTTCGGGTTCGTGCCCCCTGCTTGCGGAAAAGATGACACGTCTTTGGCGCAAATGTCATCAGTTTCGTTTGTCTGCGACACTGCTCACATGGTCCTGACACATCCAATGGTTTCAGGGGGTAGGGTTTGGAGGTAGTGAAATGTGTCTTAAGGATAAATTTGCACACACACACACTAAAAGAGAATCTAAAAGAGAAACACCAAGCGACGCAAACATACACATAGAGACACAAAGAGACAAGCGCGAAACGCAGAGACACTCAGCGACCCACAAAAAGACACACATACACATGCACGGACAAAGATGTGGAAACAAACACACACGCAGACTCCCTCTCTCTGTCCCTGTCTGTCACCCACACTACAAGCGTTGAGCACAAATCGCGGCTAGCTCAACATAGCTAAATCTGCCGGAGTCAAACCTGTGTGCCTGCAAAGGACATGGTCATGGCATTCCGTGTAAGAGTGCCTACACTATGGGAAGTCTGTTTTGCTTGAAGGTTGACGACAATCTCAACCGCATTTGGACATCCTCGACCCCTACGAAGTTGGACACGATCCCTCGCGCCTTTCACGTTGGCCTGGCGCGTAACGCTTCGCTTCGCTTTTCTGGTCTACGGTGCTGTCCACACCGTGGCTCGTGCTACGTACTTCACTATGTCCAGAGCATTCCCGACCACTCTAGGTGACAATGGAAAGCCTTCCAAAACCAAATGCATAGATTGCTGGCTACTCCAGTGGCACTCTGGGACGGACCAGGAAATCTCAAGCACGGAGAAGGTTTCAAGGCCTGATGGTCCATCCGTAGCATCACGAGCCCAGTGTCTGCATCCGCGTAGCACAAATGGACACGTACAAGCAAAGAACCAAAGGGAGAGGTTCTAATCCATGTCCAGCTGTTATGTGCTAGTCCCAATCAATCAAGGAATCCTCAACCTCACTGTTGCATCCCCCATGTCTAAAGAACCAATCAGACAAACCAGGACAATGGTAAGAGCTGGCAGCCCGCTACTGCATATCTTGCCAGAGACACCCGCCGGCTCCAGTGAGATGCGTTCATGTTCAAAGAAAACATGAGCTAAACTCCTTCCAACAACCCTGAAAGTGGACAGAGGGCTTCTCCAAAAGTAAAGCTGTCGTCTTCCAAAACCCTCTGATCGTCAGCTGCCATGTCTGGAGGGTAGAAAAAGACTAGCTTCATTGGTGCGCAGTTCAATGTACAAAAGCTGAAACATGGTGGTCTGCTGAAAGCCAAAAACAAACCAGTGATCCCCAGGATTGATTCTGAATACAAAGCCTGACCATCTCTATCCCAATCTTTCAACCTTGGCCAGAGCGATTCTAGCCATTCCCTGCCTCCGAAGGGGCGCCCTTTCGTTTCATGGCAAAAGAGAGCTGGCGACTACGATCAAATCACTCTGAACAGGCATGTAAAGTGATATGTGCAATCGTCCGACCTGCCATGTGCATAGATTCCCGCATGCAAGCAAAGCGTGAGCCACACTCAAAATAGTTTGTAAATGTGCTCACGTTTTGTTTGGCTGCTGCCCTAGCGTCTTCCAGTGATTAGATTTGCAGGGGTGTCGTGCAGGGTGTCTCTTGCGAGAGTCCCCTACCATTGCCCATGCGAATTACAAGGACTGACAACATACTGCTCTGCTCATGATTCTGTTGCTGATGATACCAGCGCCTACGTGTACATCTGTATATGTGTTAGCTTCTGGATAGCACATGCCTTCAACAAATTGTTGCTTCGTTGAAGCAGTATTAACGTGCTGTGTATTTTGGAACAAAAGCTTTGAGCAAGCGTGTCTTATGCCGGGCTTCGTTCAGGCTGGTAAATCCGCGTTCGGCCAAGGCTTTGTTCAAGTTGTAAAGCACAGAGTTGGACAACTCTGCTGTAGTCTCCGCAAGACTGAGAAAACGTCTCTACACTAGAACAAGGGGTCTTGCACATGCGCGACATGTTGACGAGCCAAACATGCACGCAGCTTGGTTAAACAGCGTCGATTGGAGCCCTTGCCCCAGGAAGTGCAGGCAGCAATGCAGCTGACTCTTCTCATCCTGTTACACCATGCCTTGAACGAGGGCCTTGAAAAGGTGTTGTTGCATGTTGGCCCCCCACTGAAACGGTAAAGCACACTTTTCTACTGTTAACAGTGTTAACATTGGATTGAGACATACAACGAATAGCGAGGTACATTTTCGGATCCACTGCTAAACAATTCTAAACTCTGACGCGAACCTCCTGGACACCCTGAATAACTACGGCGCGCTCGGCAAAACCATTTTCCTGGACACAAACAAAACAGTTTATTTCAATTTCAGCCCAACTACAGTACTTCCGGATGCGTCCTCAATCCGAAGAGTGGCCACCTACGACCACAGTTATAGGGTCCCTGGAGTCTGGAGTCCTGCCCTGTCGTGCCCCATAGCCATACTGTAATCAACTCAGTGTCGACAAGCAAATCCGAGGCAAAGGCCGGTCCAAAAGATCTTTGACCACACCTGACTCCGATGCAACTTCCCAGAACTGCCCCCCCCCCCCAGTTGGTTGGCGCTCATTTCCCTCCTACGTGGTTCCTCGCTTAGCAATCCGTGCGAACATCTGGAATGTGTCGAATGCCGAGAACCATTCAGCCTCAGTTGCCAGCTGCAGACATGGCACCCACAAAGCATTGCAAAAGCCCCCAAATAAGGCAGTTCTGCTCAATAAGCTGCTAAACACATCTGGTAGCTTTGGAGACCCAAGAGAACTTCCTCCGAAGATTTCTTCAGCCAGCACCTCATACACAAATAGAACAACCTGGACACATAATATGATTCAGCAACTGCTGCGAAAAGCGAGTTTCTTACCGGCCATGTGTATCGCGAAATGAGTGCGTTGCTGCTGGAGGCAATGCAGTCAGAGTATCACGCCCAGCCATAAGTTCTGCGATGTCGGTGAAAGAGTGCCTTAGAGACATGACTCATTAGTGTGGACCCCACTGCCGTACCTTCTCCAGACTCCACACCACTATGCTTTCCAAGGGTTGTGCATTTCTGAGGAGGCATGGTGTCAGCAAGAAGTAACGGTGGTCGAATTCGCTGGAGCTACCATGCTCTCATCCAAGCGGCCGTCGTTTTTGAAAACGCACGAACCAATCAAATGATGCGGCGAAGTTATCTTAGCACGCGCCAATTTCGCCCTTGTCATATTCCACCGCATTGCTTCGGAAACCAAAGAAGCTGGCCTGGGTAAGCAAGATTCCTGCGGTAAGTCTGTTTCAAGTCGACAATTTTTGCAATGAAGCTTGCCCTCTGCAGTCCCTTCTTTGCATTTCTGATATTGCCACGATCCATGATTCTGTTAAGGCATCACAATTCCATGCACCTATAGCCAACAGCGAGCTGCAAACAAGACACCCTCACCCACCCACCCACCCACCCACCCACCCACCCACCCACCCACCCACCCACCCACCCACCCACCCACCCACCCACCCACCCACCCACCCACCCACCACCCACCCACCCACACACCCACCCGCCACCCGCCCGCCCGCCCGCCGCCCGCCCGCCGCCCGCCCGCCCGCCCCGCCCGCCCGCCCGCCCGCCGCCCGCCACTAGCCCAACTCCCAAATTGCCTATTCGAAGCTAAAACAAAACCAGACTGCGTCTACGTCCATTTCCCTGGCCGCCGGACGTTCTTTGAAGCTCGGCCTTGGCACCTCAGCTGTTGTTGCGTTGCGACTGATCCTTACTTAAATGGTTCTTGCCCATTGTGTGAGATGGGAAATGCCATTCCAATGGAAACGTCAGGAGTGCAAAATCGATGCTTGCTTGTGAACAAAAGTGCCAGCCAATGTTGGCGAGAGGCTGACAAAATGCGTGCTGATAACTCGTCTCGTTTGAGGTGGCCGTGTTTCAACAAGCGCGCCACCCGTGCAAGGGGTGTTGCAAACATGAAAAGCAAAGTGTGATTGGCTTCTGCCAGACATTCACAGAAGCAACTCAACCAAGCCGCACACAGGAAGTAGTAGCTTCTTAAGCTGCCAAGTCTGATTCAACTCTGCAATCCCAAAACATCGTCTCATAAATGCGACAAAACACCAGACGCCCACAACCATGAGGTCCAAACATCTGGTCCACCTGATTGACGTGGAACCCAAAACAGCCGTCATTCCTAAGACAAACAAACATATGTTTGCAAATTCCCCTTTTGGGTTCCATGTGAATCTTGCGCGGGGTATACAAAAATACTTCGGATGGACAAACTCCTGCACCAGGTAGGATGGATGAGCCATTTACATACTGGGATACACCACCTACCAACTAGTGCAGGACAGTACTCATCCACAGTATGGGTGCGTCGTTTTTTAGGCGACCCCCTACAAAGGCTTCGGTGTTCCTTTCAGTTTCCCCTTAGAACCACGAAAAGCATTCACTTCCCTTCGGCCACTCGTAAGCTTCGGGCCGGGGCAGGTGGCTCTGGACACTTGGCCGGCAGCACAAGCGGCTCCGGCCTGACGTACCGAAGGTGGAATGGCCGGGGTCCCTTGCGTTGCGAGTTCCCATCAAATCAGAAATAAGGAGACCCGCAGAAAAGGATCATGGGCGAGGCTGCTGCCTCAAAGCTACAAGTCTCTAACGTTGACCCAAGCGCACGGCACCCAAGAAACCTCCGGGTTTGACCCCTGGTTCCTTTAAATGGGCATGTGACAAAGGGTACACCCAAATGATTGGCTTCCTTTTGTGTTCCCTTTTAACCAATCCCCAGAAAGGCTACCCTAAAAAACAGACGCACCCAAATCGTGCACTTCCCAGGGCAGCAGAAAAGACTTTTGGAACCCAATCCCAAGTCGCAGTCGCAAACCACCTGCTAAAATGGCCCTTTCGGGGTTGAAAGGTGAATTGATGGAAACCCAAACAGTTTCAAAAAGGTTAAGCCTTGAACACTCGAACACTCATCTGGCTAATTTGGGAACGCTACACGGGAAGGATGCGGCAAAGTTCAGCCCGAAAATTTGCACTACAATTCCATTGCCCAATGAATCGCACCCAATGAGACAAGCGGGTCACAATGGTATTAAAGGCGTGTAACCAAACCCTGCAGAGAAATGAGACAGGTGGATCCGCCGTATTTAGGGTTGGCACTGCCCTCCTCCCCGATGCCAATTGGGTGGCTCGTATTGTTTCCACTAACACACAAGTTCAACTTTTAACAGGGGATCAGGCAACAGCCCAGATAAATACCGTGGTTGGAGCTCACCCACTTTCGGTCCAAACCACCACAGATTTTGATCGCGACTTGATGATTCTCAGTTCCTGGGAAGTCCCTCTGACAATCCAACAAACTTTTGGGGGCACTCTGGAAGTGAGAAATGCCCTTTGTCCCAGCCACTTGCGAGCCGAACAGGGTAAATTTGGATTTGTCTTGTTTGGAGTTGGTACCCTTTATTCAATGGTTTTAAAGTGAAACCAACAGGAACATCATTCAGCCCCAAGCCATCCGGACAATCCATGCCTTACACCAGTGAGCCGGAAGAACTCGTCCTGGCCGGCCAATCTTCGGGCTTGGCTCGCTGTAATCAGACCCGGCCGGTAACCCATCTACCAGCACGCCCGCCCCAGCAACAGCGTTGCCCATGTCCAACATCCGAAGTACTGTCCAAACGCAAGTTGCTAATGAAATGATTTCAACACCTCACATGAGGAAGCTCAAGAAACAAACCCAACGGACCGACGGACATGTTGCCCCATTCCAATGCGCCATTCGCTGGGTCAACAGGCATGCATTGTGTCCGGGGGCCAAGTCACACATGTCGGTTGCAAGGCTTTACTGATCCCATACGTGCGCGGATCCTGAACCTAAGGTAGAAACCGTGTTGACCGGCACATCTCGCACGATCCATCGTGTGTAAGGTCTGCTTCTGTAAATTGCATCATTGTGGGTAGGTGTTCTCTCTCTCTCTCTCCCTCTCCGTGTTCTCAGCTCAGCTCGTCACCATAAAGAAAAAGCATGGTTGCCATGACATATGATGGCCAGAAAACGGTCATCATACATGACGTTGCATCCCCATGAGAGAGGGAAACAGAGCAAGAAGGGCACACAACGCGCCAGCAACTAGTAACACATACACATTGCCGTGATGCAATGATGAAAACAAGAAGCCAAATTGAGGGTAAGGCACGTCCGGACAGGTGGCTGAGCGAGCCACCAGCTACATTTGCAGGTCAAAAGGTCGAAACAAGGTTGGTGTTTGACACCTCACAAAAAAGGGTTGCTCCTGAGGGCAAAACGTTGTCCAAAACGCTTGTTGTTCAAACCAAGACAGTCGGACACCAGTAATGAACCTGCTGCTGGCCAAATCCGAGCCTCCACGTTGTCCGCTGGCCTGAGAAGACATCAAACAAGAAACAGGCAAACAAACAAACAAACAAACAAACAAACAAACAGGTCAAACACACTGCCAAACCAGCAACAATGCTCCCACCAAGTGCACATGGGTTGCCGTGCAAACCTCAGTCTCCTTCGCAGCCTAGTGGGGGGTGGGTTGGGAGTGAAAACATGCAGGTCACATGCATCCCTAGGTGTTTGCACCTTGGACACAACGGAAAACATGGCAGGTCCATGTGGATTGCCTTTTTCACCAGCAGAATTCATGAGCAAGCACCTCGTCATTGTCGCAGTATGAACCTTCACTAGGAAACGCAAACCATGTAGAGCCTGGAAAAGGTTCCACTTGCCTTTTCATTTCATTCTTGTTTGCGTTCTGCGACTTCCGGAACTCTAGCAAGCCCGCACAGCCGATCGTATGTGCCGCCACTTTTCCGCAAGCTCTCGCGGTTTCCTGCCTGGTCACCCCTATGGATGGTCTAGGCTGCAGACAAACTTGTGCCAACTTGGTGACGGAATGGCAAAACCGCACCATTTGCTGATAAACTCTTGGAGGACATGGTGCCGGGATAACTATGACATCGGCCAAGAAAAGGAAAGGAACCCTTCTCAGAGGGTTGACCTGCCAGCGCAAATCTCGGCAACACACCTCAGCCACAGGCTGCTCAATCCCGACCCGTGCCCTGAGGGCAACCAAGCCCTCTCATCTAGGCACCCAAGAAGCTAATGAACAAACATCGACCTTACAAATCAATCCGATCCCCTCCACTCTCTGCGCAAAGTTTCCATAGCCCCTTCGACTCGTTGGCCCTCGGCTCTGCCACACACATCTCATGCTTCAATCCACGCAGCCCAATCTGCGAGTTGGATCGGTTGAGTTGGGGGTTAGTTGGCTTGCTTGGGTCGGTTGGTTGCTTTGGTTTGCCGGCTTTGGGTTGGATGCTCTGGCTTGGTCGGCGGCATTAGATGGGTTGGCTGGGTTTTCCAGCGCGTAGAGCCACTAAAGTGAATGACAGAACCAATAACAACAACAGAAACAAACAAGCACTGCGACGAGTAAAATGGTTCTTCCTTCTGGCAGTTTTGACCACAGCAAAAGCAAAATAACAGTAAACAACACGTGACAGAGAGGAGCAGGCCGCGCAGTCAGCAAAGGAAAAGGCAGCTTGCTTACGAAGCGCATGCTCTACCAACTGAGCTAAAGAGGCCTTGCGAGGGGCGTGAAGGGCAATGCTTAAATAAACATGATGCCCCTCGTCGCTTTTCTAAGTGCAGTTAGTTGCGCCTTTCTCCTTCTACTCGACTGTGGCTGATTAGACTAGGAACACAAACCGAAACCAATACTAAACCGAATCCACACTAGAAGCAACAATGCTGAACTCATATGTCGTTTTGGTCGACACTATTACTCAAGGAATACTAAAGAACTACTACTCCATACTAAGTTCATAGAAGCTCGTACTGGAGTTCAGGCTGCATGGTGCAACACAAAGGGCGTTGATCTCATATGTGTGCATCTTGCATATTGGTCACTTGCCAAGACTTGACCGACTCATAGCGGAATCCAGCAAATTTGGCCAGCTGTCCCCATGTGCATATCCGTAAAAGAACGAATCCTGAGAGACGTCCATCGATTCATCCATTCTCATTTGCAAGTCCCAAAAGCGACTTGTTCCTGTTTAGAATGCCTTGCAAATGCAGCAATCCACATGCAAACTCGGGCACACCTAGGCTTTTGGGGAAATACTCACAGTCAATATATATATATATACAATATATATATATATATATTATACATATTATGTCCGAGTCACGAAGGCAGCGGACAATGTATTGCAGCCGAAGTGGCACAAAGCGACATGGCAGCAGGCATCGTCACCTATCGGGAAACTTCGAGCCCACTTCCCTTGGTGTTTCTGGGGAATCAAATGATGTCCTCAATTTGGTCTCTCCCTGTCTCTCTCCGCCTTTTGAATGCGTGCCTAAACGAGGTGGCTTATACCAGTGAACATGACACGTAAACTTAAATGCGAACAACCGAATGGCCGCAAAACAGATCTAACACAAGCCACAAAACGATCTTCCATTGGCAAATTCTCCGCCAGATTCCACGTGAGCGGTTTGAAGGGCAACAGCTGGATGTGGGGAAATAGCGACAATATTAGGCGGCGGTCTGCGGGTGTTTGGACTGGCGTATCATGATTTATCCTGCTGGTAGGGCTATGCTTTGCGTGTCGACTAGCTACAGTAATTAGTTGGAGTGCCAAGCAATCAGCCGCTGGTCTGTTCAGCTATGTCACTCCAAGCAATCAGCTGCGACATACAGGGCTCCAGGATGCAAACCAGTGGCATTGCAACACTAGACACATGCGAGGGTGTGCGGGTACCCTTTTAAGGTTGAAAGGGAAACCAAAAGGAGACCCATCATTGTGGGGGTCACTCTAGTTTGACATGTTCCCACATGTGTTCCAGTGTGGATCCTCGTGATTTGTAGCATGTCCTCACTTGTGGGTGAAAAACGTATCCACCAACCCGAAGGAACAATGCTACTTGACGCTTTTGCATCCGTGGCGCAAGCGCCCAATGTTGAATCTTGAGCACAGCTTTTTCCACCTTTCGCGTTTGCGGTGACGACCATAGGTGCCCTTTTGGTCAAATGGCCCTGGTACATGGAACAAAACCAACCTGAATCTGCCCCATCCATTTCTTTGAGCCAAAAAAGAACACCTATGGTGACGAGGCGAGGTAGCGTAGTACCCCCATCTCATCATCATCCTCCTGGATAGGTCCAGGAGTTGGCATCACTTCCAGCACCTCGGTCCCTTCCTTTATCTCCAGACGCGGCGTCGGACCCGCGTGCTGGAAAGGCGTGGGAGGCGGCAGCATGCGAGGAACCTCTTCCTTGTCTTTGGCCTGGCAGTTTGACGGCGTAGGACCGTGTTTAAGGGCTTTGTCTGAAGCGAAAGTGCCAAATCGACCAACCCTTCCATTGTTTTGCTATTGTATTTGTTTCACCAAGCCACCCTGGGTTAACCATTTTTGGGGGTGTACGAGGAAGGACCCCCTGCAGCCCTCCTCCTCCTTCTCCTTCCCATCGTCCTTGGATGGGCTCACCCACACCGCAGGGGCGGTGTTGAGATCCGCGCCGCGGTCGAAGAAGGTGTTGTCCCCGTCCGGGCGCCTGGGCACCAACCTCGGCCGGTTTCGCGACGTCAGGCGAGAATTCCCGATCGTCGTGTGCGCTGAACAGGGGTCGCGTTATTGGCGGGCAAATACATACCCTCCCACCGGCTAACATGGAAGTGCACAGACTCAGACCCCTGTAGAAAGACTACTTTCCTCTTGGAAAGGGGGGGTGTGCACTTCCATGTTAGTTGGCGGGAACAAGATGCGACGCCAGAAAAATCGATGTAACTGTCCACTTTAAGCCGGTGGCTCCAATGATTACATCGATTTCTCTCCACCAAAAGCCCGCGAACAGGAGTCTCCGCTGCTCTTGGGCTACCAAGTGAATCTTCCGAGTTGCCGGGCAAGCGAACCAACAAGCCCTGAAACTCTGGCTCCAAACCACTCTGGATTTCTGTGTTGTTTTGCGCAGAGGCCCCAAAGCTTTCAGGCTGTTGGGGAAAACAACTTACACGTTTCTTGGAAAACACCACCACAAATCCCAAAAACTTTCATGGATCTAAACCGAAATTCACAATGCTCAGTAGACGTTTTAAGGATAAAGCGGATGGTAGAGAGAAGGCTAAAGCCTGAATGGCGAGGTTGAGCAATCAACTGCTCACTCAACAAGACCAACGCGGACATTTGGACCCCAATATGGTGTTCATTCTGGTTTCCCTTACCAAACGTGGTTTGTGTAGACATAAATCATCACCCACACCAGTAGGAAGAAAGGAATTGGCACTCTTCTAAAGGGGCGGTGGGACCACACGGTGTTCCTGGTGGTTTGCAATTGAACCAACCATAGTTCTGGGAGGGGAGGGTTCTCAAAATAGAGCACTCCCCTTTTTACTTGAAGAGAAAAGGCCACAGTACCAGCCTCACAAGAAAACAAAACAACAACAAAAAAGAGAAAAAGAAAAAAAAAACGAGTCCTCGGGAAAAAAAAAGAGTCCTCTGAAAACCGGGTCCAATTTAGAGAACCACCTGTTGGCTCAGAAACTCCTCCACCACGGACTCCTTCATGGCTTTCGCCCGCTGCTCCTCCCGCTTCTTGCGGACCTCCTCCGGCGCCAAAGCGTCGGAGTCCAGCAAAATCAGCTCCTGGCGCTGCATCCGCCACATCCCCAGGGGTTGTCAAACCGGAACCCAAATGACAACCAAAAGGAGGGCCTACCCGTTGCTTGCACTACATGTTTTAGGAATATCTGGCTTGACACATCCACGCCCTTGCTGAGAACAGGGACTGGGGGAAGCCACCCCAAGTTGACTCCAACAGCCCAACACCTTCTCAGCTGAGCGGGCGATGTGTGCAACCCACTCAAAAGGATAACCATTCACCAAATCAGCCCTGTCCTCCGGCCGCAGATCTCCTGGCGACAGCAAAATTGCCCCAAAGACATGGACCCGCAAACAAGCCTCTCAAAATGGGACGTTGCCCCATGGCATGAGAACTGCAAAGTTCATAATCTCCAAAACAACCAACGAATAGAGACCCAAAGACGCCAAACACATGAGGCCAAAAAGGGTCTATCCAAAGATGCGACACTGAATTGGGTTGGCATAAAGTTGACTGCAACAAGCGTTCAAACAGCGCCTGCAGGAGCTGTTGGCAAAATACATCAGGCCACGCGAGTTGTAGCCAAACTCCAGGAGAAGGTATCCAATCCCAAGAAACAGATGGGCGTGTCTTTTTAAGGCTACCTGCTACCTTGTTTGTTTGCGGTTTTAAAGGGGAACCGAAAGGAAAGCGAACCATTTCGACGGGTCGCGTAAAAAAGACACACCCAAATGACAAGGGAGGAGATTCAAAATGTTCTCTCATCCCTACTCTCCAAAGTTTGTTTCGCATCCCGATGGAAATGTCGGGCTTCCTTTGACTTCCCTAAGCCTCCGTCGGATACGTCCCCTTACACAAATAGACATGTTTCCAGTGGTGATAGATTCCAACAGCGGGAAATCAACATATTCAATAAACAGACCAGCTGAGTTCTCTGGCTGGGACCAAAATGAAGAAGAAAGCTGCCAACAACCATCTCAACCAGCAAGCAAATGAGCTATCTCCAAACATAAAAATGTCAAGATGGAACATCTCTGAAGGCTTCGTTTCAAAGAACCGCCTTCGTTTTACAGGGGTTTGAGCCCCTATTCCAGCCGAATCACCATGTCAACTTGACGCGGTCAAATGGAACCCAACGGGTACCGAGCCTCACGCTTGAGCCCCGCCTGAGAGGATCCGGGCACGGAGCTCTGCGTTGCCGGGAAGCACCAGATTAGTGCCTCAACGACAA